ACACACACACACACACACGCACGCTGCCAAAGCAAAAAAAAAAAATCTCCGGGAAACATTTTTGTGTATTCGTGCCTTGGCCACTGGGTGGTTATGGTTACTTATAAAAGCAGCATTATCAGAACAGTCTGATCGAGACAGTGGTTAGCTCAAACTGGGGTATCATTAGGTGAACATGCTCAATACAGATTATAACAGAGGATTGGTTTCAGCAGGAGAATAAGAAGTGTGTCTGTGTGTGTGTGTGTGTGTTTTTTTTTAAGCAATATGCTTGATTGAAGCCAGTATTGAGAGTTGAACCCTAAATTTCAGGAGACCACACAGGAAGCAGGAATAGACGTGTGTGTGTGTGTGTTTGTTTGGTGAGCCAGCAAATCTCCAGAACCACACTCCAACGTACAGTGTAAAGTGTGTGTTAGCGAGCATCGGTGTGCATCAGCATGAACTGTGCCATCGACAAAGCTCCTGTTTACCCAGAGTTCCATGGGGTTGCGCAAAAGTGACCACAGCTTTAATTGAAGCAAGATGCGAGCAGCTCGAGTAATACTTTTACAACCCTGCCCACCCAACAGAAACACACATGCACACAACACACTCTCTCACAGAGAAACTTGTGAAGACTATTTTCAACCTACAAATGACACGTTTGAACTCCGTTTCCCATCATGCAGTAATGGCAGCTGATTAAAAGACTTCCCGCTCATGCTATTTCAAGGTGAAGTGAGGGTCTGAGGTTTCACTCAAGTCTCACACATAGAAGCTGTCTATTATACAACGTAAACCTTATCTATCAGCCACTCAGAGGCTCCACCAGAGCTGCTTTCGACTTATATATCTTAATATCCTTTGTTCAAGGGCTCCTCAGCAGAGCTAATGACCCAGATTCAAACTGGCAGCTCACCAGGTAAAGTAAGCAAGAACTTTGAGGGAAAACTGTGTATAAGTGTGGTTCTCCCGCAGATTAAACAGGCGAGGGGTTCTACTAGAGTTCAAATTGACCCCCTGTCTGAGTTGTATTGCTAGAATTGTTGGGCATCCAAKAAAAAAAAAAAAGAAGAAAACTCAGCTTGGTATTAAGAGAGGATAAACAGAAGAAGCCAAGCAGATTCCACAGAGCTTTGTTTTCAAAGTTGTGGTGAAATGTCATAGTTTGTAGCTGGACCTCTCAGACTGGTATTCCGGGAAAAGGGCTCTCAGATGGGGGAGCACAGAGACACACTCTCCGGGAGTGTGTCTGATTGTGTGTTTGTCTGTCTGTGCAACTGTGTGTGTGTGTGTGTGTGCTGTGTGTGCTTTTCTCTCTGTGTGTGTAAGTGTTTGCCTTGCTCAGATTTACTGTGAGATTGTTTGTGTATTTGTGTGTTTCTGTGCGTGTGTGCTTTTCCCTCTGTGTAAATGTAAAAATGTTTGCTAGAGTCTGTTTGCTTGGATTTACTCATTACTTGTGTGTGTGTGTGTGTGTGTGTGTGTGTGTGTGTGTGTGTGCATGCTGTATGTGTGAATAAATGAAACATGAGCTGTGAGTCACGGAGGGTCGGCTTGTTTGGTCGGCTGGGAAGTCAGACTGGCGGCTGGATAAAATAGGAACCAGAGGCTTAATGTGTCGAGCGGTGGCTTGCAAAGCAAAATAGATATAATTCATCTGATTGGCTCAAATTCACGTGTGAACAGTACTCGGAGTTAGTGCAAATGATTTTGAGACAGTTGCAGATACACAGTATTGGATGCTGTAAAGGTTAGAAGGATTTGAGCAGCACTTTTGTAAAAACGTATTCAGCCATGTCTGTAAAACCGTAAACCCAATGGATTTGTTTTGAGAGCCCTTGAGTTTCTCACGCTAAAAACGTTCTGGACACTCTGACACAAAAATGGCAGAAAAGGATGTGATATGGCAATCTGTGGAGCTGCGGCCTCTCTGTGGTCGTCATGCGTGGTCATCACGCCCACTGACCATTTGTCATCCGAGGTTAGCCAGGATTTAGTCCTGCCCCACATACGTATGTCATGCATAGGAGAAGCTCAGTCTTCCTGTGTGTAGGAGGGGATTTTGACAGCGGCGTCTTACACAACAATACCATATATATATATATTTATGCACATTTTTCCATAAGCTGTCTCTGTACTTGTTGTTTTCTATATCAGAATAGAGAAGTTGGGGATTGTTGAGGTCAGACACCCATTTGAAGCCAGAAGTATTGGCATCACTTAAGAAATGCAAAAAAAAGAAAATTTGTACGAGGAAAATATTATCTCTGATTACTAAGTTGTCTATTTCGTACTCTTTGATCGTTTTTCTGGTACCAGACTTCTCACTCTCTCTTCTTTTTCTCCCCCTCCACATTTTACATGTTCAGGTCAAGTGTCGGGGAACAACAACACCACCTTCATCTCCAGCGGTCAGGTGATGAACTTTAGTGGCGACGTCATCGTCGTCTACGTCAGCCAGACGTCAGTCGGCAGCGACGGAGCGGGGCTGGACGATGCCTTCGGAAGCCCCGTCCAGGAAGAGGCCAGTGAGACGGCTCCGTTTTTCCAACGCGGCCCGAGGTCAAGAGGGGAATGCTTGTCTCGCGTCACGGTGCAAGACGAGACGCTGCCAGTGCAGGAAGTGATGGCAGAGCGGCCGCCGGGGAAGTGAACTGCAGCTGTGTCTGTCCAGTCCATCATCTCAATAACTAGCAGATAGACCTCTGATCATTCTTGTTGGTTATGTCCCCTTATATCTTAGCTTAATGAAATTACAAAAAACTGTCCTAGAATGTAAATAAAGATGGATGACGTGTCTCCACTTCTTTACAGTATCCAGAAATCAAGCAAAAACATCCCGGATACGAACGCTGCCATCTTGTGCATTTGGAACAAGAGTGTGCGGCGTAGCAACCAGGTGATGGAGCCGCGTTATTGTGGTATCACCAATATATGCAGTTGACCGGAGTCAGTCTGAGCTGTCAATCATGACGTTTCCTATGGGTTTTTGTAACATTAAATAATTAAAAACGAACTCACCAGAAAAAGGTTTGAACAAACATCAGCGTGATGAGAACAACCTTCACTGACAGAAACCATCTTGGAGAAAAACGTATTTGTTGTTTAATTTGACTTTTTTTCTGGGCCATGTCCCATCTACTAACATGGAGAAGGTTGGGTTTGTGACCTATACTGCTGCCAGCCACTAGGTGGTAATTGAGACATTTTGTCATGTCGTCCATCTTCATATACAGTGTATGGTTGTCACATAGCAGCTTCTCATAACCAGGAAGACTTTCAACTACAATGAATCCGACCAATCAACTGAGTGATGAGGCAACTTTTTGAAATGTGAAAGTTATGCCCATGTTATTTTTTGGAACGTAATCAAACAATAACTTGTCTCTTCTCAGACATTAGTCACTGAACGTTGCCTCGGGCCCTTCTCCTCATAAATGCCTTTTTTTGATTTCCAGTGGAAAGCTTCAGGCTCCTTCACATGGAAACTCCCTTCATTCCAGACATTGATGGGGAATTTTGTTGGGAATTGGATGTGGAACTAGAGTTCAGATTGGAACAATGTTGTGCTTTTATGGTTGTATGGAAATTGTAGCCATGTCTAGATAGAAAGTAGTTACTGCATTTCCCATTTCCCATTTCCCACCTTTCAACAGTGAAGGTTAAAGCCTGCAGAGTTTTTAACCAGTTTAAATTTAATCTTTGGGTAATTTTAGCAGTTGCACAACAAAATATCCACCATGTGGAAATAAAAGACTGCCGTGAAAATAAATATTTTAAAGGAAGATCATTTTGAATCTAAGGACTACATTAAGAGAGTAGAGTCAATGTTGCAGTTTGCAGAGTTTAACGAGAGCTATTTTACAGAAAAGAGACACATCCAGTTTTGGTACGATGCTTGTTTATCTTTGACTTTTTTTTAATTCTCTCCTTATTGCACCACAGGTGCAGTTTATGTCAAATAAAAAATGCTATGCATTTGATAAGCTATTTTATTACTAGTTTGTTCTATTTCATTGTGTGCAAGCCTTAATGAAGAAAAACCTGTTTGTAATATTTTCTTTCAGATGATTTTTTTCAGAGCAGAATGTTTATGTAATATTTCAGATTCATATGTGATCAATGTTTAAATATTTCCAAAGAGAAAAAAAGCAGGATGCATGTGTGAAATAAGAATTATCCTCTGTGCTTCCTCTCATTCGATTTGTGGTGCGGATGTGTGAACCATGAACAGCTGGTAAAACACACATCCCTAAAAGGTTCCATTACGAGCTCATCACATGTCTGCAGCCTCAATAATTATGTACATATCAATCAAATATATTGCAATGAATGACTGAAAGAATATTTTGATTTAAATAAAAATATGTTTTGCATCTAATCCTTTCCGGGATGGCTGCCATCCTGACCCCGTGGTTTCTCTCTTGTCAACGTTTCTCCAATTCTGGCTTCGGCAAAATCACACAATGAGAGTCGTTTATCGGAACAGTTGTGTAACCATCACTTTTATGTTTTGTCTGACTGCTGGTTAAAATGAAAATAATGATAATGATATTTATAGATGTAATGAAGTAATTAATGATAGCATGAATAATAAGAATCATAATAAGAATCGTTGTTGAGTAGTATCCTGCAGAAATGAGAGAGAGAGAGTGAGAGTGAGAGAGCACAAAGTTGCATGAACTAAAATAAATCTTGTCAAGTTTTCTCCAATTCTGGCTTTGGCAAAATCAAACCGCGAGAGTCGTTTATCTCCTCGGGATGATCTATAATCTTTTTGCCAAGCGATGCTAATTACACATGTGGCGAGGCCTCTTTGTCTTTGTCCCTGTGTTGACAAGGGGGTGGCCGGCCTTTCATCAGGCCTGGCGATGGCGAGCAGCTGTGAGGGGAAACTAATCTCGCTGTCAGACCAACTAGCGTCACAAAGAGACCACATGAGAGGAGCTGGCAGCACATTTAGACCTGGTTTGGGTCGACAGGAGTAATTTTATATATATGTGTGTGTGTGTGTGTGTGCGTGTGTATGTGTGTGCATCTTGTCTCAGCTTATTTTATGGTTGTTTGTGAGAAACAGGAAGTTATGACTGGCTTTCACATGGTTTATGTGAGAACTGGCTGAACAACACAGAACCTCACTGGAGCTTTAAATGATTTCAGCTCTCTCTCTGTGTGTGTGTGTGTGTGTGTGTGTGTGTACTTGTACAGATCTTTGTCAGGACCATTTTGAGCCCACGACCTACAGACTAAGGGACGTTTTGGGAAAGTGAGGAAATATTGGCCAGTCCTCACTTTCTGACCCACCTTTAATGGGCTGTTTGAGGATTAAAACTTGGTCTTAGGGTTAGAGTTAGAATTAGGTTTAGGGTTAGGGCCTAAGGAATCTATTAAGTCATTAAGACAGAAGTACAAACATGCGTGTGTGAAAACAGCCTCTCATTTGACTGGAGATATGTAGGAAGACACCCCCCAGTGGCACCTGCCTGCTAGCACAACAAAATAAAAGACAAATATCAGGCGAATGTGATCATTTAGATTTTTTAATCTTCTGCAAGGTTTTTACGAGCAGATCCTAAATCCACAAGATATCACCTGTGGTCTCATTTAAATTTGAATCATAATGTACATTATCTCAAGGCACTTTAAAAAATTTTAGAGAATCTCAACAGTTCCCACAATGAGCAAACAGTTTGGCGACTGTGGAGAGAAAAGAACTCCCTCATTAACTGGAAGAAACCTCTGGAACCAGATTCAGGCGGCCATGTACCTCGACCGGTTAGGATGAGCAGGGAGCGGGAAGAGAGAGAGAGAGAGGAACATCCTTTTTAAGTTTTGTCTGACTGCTGGTTAAAATGAAAATAATGAGAGTGATATTTATAGATGTAATGAAATAATTAAGGATATCAGGAATAATAATAATCATAATAATAATCGTTGTTGTTGATGTTGAGTAGTGTCCTGTAGAAATGAGAGAGAGAGTGAGAGCGAGAGCGAGAGAGCACAAAGTTAATCACATGAAGTAAAGTAAGTGAATGATGGTTCAGCTTTCAAACTGCAGCCCTTTGAAGGATCAGATAAAGTGATATTATTGGCCCAGAGAAGTAATCAGAATAACATGCTCACATTAGACCTTCCTGTGGAAAGCACCAGGAAATCCACAGTGGTGAAAGGCTGAAATTACAGTCGCCTCACCTGCAGATCCGGATTTTCCAATCTCAACCTGCAGAATCTGCTGATGGAGGATCAGAGCAGCCAAATGATCAAATTATGATACGAAGGGATTTGAAAATGATGAATTGCTTCTGATCAAATCGCCCAAAAGCCGATGGAGAGACTGAGCCATGTGAACAAGAAGATGAAATGTTATGGCTTTACATAAACACACAAAAAGCTTCACTGTTACTTCGGCTTATTAAACACAGCAGTGGGTGTCATGTGATTGCCCTCTGTGAAGCGTGTTGAAATTTCACCTTAATTGATTAATACGATTGAAGCCTTTCAACAGAAGGGGATTTGTTATTTTTATGACATCCAGATACAATATGAAGGATTCTTCAAGGGACATAATGCTGTGATTCTTCCTTTCTGTCCTCCCTGGCTCTCTCTCTCTCTCTCTCTCTCTCTGTCTCTCTCTCTCTCTCTCTTATATCTGTCCTCTGTTTTGTTTCTCTGGACCTCAGTCTTGAAACCTCACGAGTGAAATAAGGAGTCGCTCAAATCTTTAGGAAGGATATCTGAATTTTGTAGAAATGCAAGTAGTCAGGTAAGAAACGTTTTATGCTGAATATTATATATAAACAAGTGGAACTGGCTGTTTTTTTTAGTAACACAGTGTTTTTTCCAGTAATAAGTACCAGATGTAAGCCTGATTTATTTATGTAACCCAGGTGCATGATGGGTGTGACCTTTAACTTCATATAACATGATGGCTGTATAGTTTCTGGAAAACACTGTTTTTCCTTTAAGGTGCTAAACTTTATCCACTTACTTAGATAGCAACTGTAAGTTTAAACAAACATGTCATGTAAACGCCATAATGTTCTTTTTCATTCTTATGATGGTTAAAGGATGGATTTCATGTTTGGTGTCATCATTTCTACCTTCACACTTCATCCCTCAGGTATCTGTTTGTCTCCAAGTGGTCCTCAGATGTGTCCCTGGAGGGAAAGACAGCTATAGTGACGGGGGCTAATGTTGGCATTGGAAAAGAGACGGCCAAGGACCTGGCCAGCAGAGGCAAGTGATCAGAGCTGCATGTCTAGAGACAGAATAACGAGTAATTAAGAATGACACGTTCTTTATTTTTACCTGTGTGACTGATAATAGCTGTGTGGAAAGATTTAATAATGAATAGCTTGTGCAAAAAAACAAATCAAGTGTTAAACAGTTTATCTGAAGCCAATAATGCTCATGAAAATGGATTCCTACTCTTTTTTAAATATAAGACAGTCATGAGGTCAGACACAAACACTCAGATGCTCAGCTTCACCTCACCATGATCAGATTTCAACGTTGCATGCTCATGCAAGCACGCACACCAGTAAGAGGCATTAATCTCGGCAGGTGCGCGGGTGATTTTGGCGTGCAGAGACATGGCAAAGGGAGAGCAGGCCGTCCGTGACATCATGAGGGAGGTGGAGGGGGCCAGGGTAGTCGCCAAGCAACTGGATCTGGCTGACACCAAGTCGATCTGCCTGTTTGCCGAGAATGTCTACAACAGTGGGTTACACACAAAAACACACACACACACACATACACACACAAGCTACCAAATATCTGCATTAGATATATAGACTCTAATGCAGATATTCTGTTTCCCAGGTGAAAGGTCTCTTCACTTCCTGATCAACAATGCAGGCGTGGCTATTTGCCCTCATGCCACGACAGTGGATGGATACGAGATGCAGTTTGGAGTCAATCACTTGGGTAGGAGATTCAATTTCAATTCATCAAATCAAATTTTATCTGTTATTTGTATTCGTCTGCATCAGTCCTGAGAGGTTGTCCCTGTATTAAATTATAGGCAGGGGCGTCACAAGGAACTTTGGGGGCCACTTAATTGATAAAAATGCTACTTGCCATCGTTTGCATCAAAAGACCAAATGATCAACCCGCTTATTTCACTCTCTGTGGATCCTGTGGATTTTTCTAAAGTTGCATATAATTCTAATTTTGCACCTTTTCAATCTGTGTAACCCCGCCCCCGTCCTCCCTCTCAAGGCCACTTCTTCCTGACCTTCTTGTTACTGGACTTGCTGAAGCACTCTGCCCCATCCCGCATCATCAACGTGTCCTCGGCAGCTCACGCCATGGGCAGGATCCACTTCGAAGATCTCAGCGGCGAGAAGGACTATCACCCCGTGCGGGCGTACGCGCAGAGCAAGCTGGCCAACGTCCTGTTCACCAGAGAGCTGGCCAAGAGGACTGAGGGTATGGGATGATGCAGCGGGGATGTTTATGTCTCTCTTTGTGTATTTACGTCTCTTTCACTGTGCATTACAAATTGTAAATGCGTCTCTTGTGAATGTGAGAGTCTCATGCTTCTACCACTAATGCTTCGGGCGAGACACAGACCATGAAAACACATGTTTGTCGGAAATAGCCATCATAGAGAACCAATGCTCATTTGACTTTGACTGTCATTGTCATCGATCTAAAAACACATATTGATATAAAAATCCAATACTAGATAACGAACTGGAGTTATCGTGCCATGGATTCTGGGTTTTGACCCCATGCAGCAAACCTGCATTTGACGAATCATACACAACTCTCAAGGCTTTTCTTTGTTTCATTCTTTCATTTCCATATTTTGATGAGATATATCACACCACAGCGAGTCGTGTTAAACAAACCCCTGTCCTTTTCCTTCCAGCCCTTGGTGTGACGACTTACTCCGTGGACCCCGGGGTGGTGAACACTGAAATAACCAGGCACATAAGGCGCCCTGTTGTGGACATAATCAAGACTTTCAATTTGCTGTTCAGGACCCCCGCAGAGGGAGCCTACACCACCATCTACTGCACCGTCACCCCCGAGAACCAGCTGCAGACAGGAGGATACTACAGGTCAGCGTGAAATGTTTTTACCCAGATCAACCAGTTCAAATCAGACAAGTCACATAACAAGCTACAAATACAAACACGTCATCATGTGACAAAATCAGATGAAGACATGAGGGACAGGCTGTTTGAAAATGGGAAGAGAATTAAAATGTTATGATGTAATGTACAAAGGAGGTAATAACTGTGTTTCCCACATCCATTTCCTTTTAATTCCTTTCCCTTTCATTTATTTTCCTTTTTCTTTCTTTTCCTTTTCTTTCTGTATGTTTTCCTTTCCTTATGTATCCTTTTCCTTTCCTCTCCTCTCCCTGCAGGGACTGTGCCATTGCAAAGAGCTGCAGGGCAGGTCAGGATGATGGCATTGCCGTGAAGCTCTGGGCTGTGAGCTGCCACCTGCTGGGCATCTGCTGGAGATAAACTTGCAGAGTTTTATATATCCACATTTGCTCTCCTCCTATATATTATGAATCAGTATCCATGAGTTCATATAGTGGACGATGTCAATACCACATAAATGATGTTATTGGATTTGCTGAATGCTGAAAATGTGACGGGGCTGATGGACAAACTAGACTGAAGTGGAGTCTGATTGGTGAAAGTCATGTGTGATGAAAGCTGCAAATAGATTGTGGAGAAGGAGAAGATCAGAGCTGCTGTTAATAAAAAAAACTTCTCTGATTAATCCAAACTGCTGACTGGTCTGAACTGGTTTATTATTATTTGTCCCAGTGATAAAGCAAAGACAACACACAAACAATCACAGTTGTTCACAATCACACAGCTAACGCTCTGAAGTAGTTATTCCACATTTACGCGATTTTTTTTCCTCTTCAAGTGTAGAGCTTATTTGGAAATCCTCATGACTGGGATTAGGAATTAACAGCCTGGTCCAATCTGACTTTAGAGTAAAAAAAAAAAAAATTGTATAATACTCCAACATTATTGGAGTATTATTGTGATAATTTAATTCCATATGCATATAGCAACAAATCCCAACATACAGAGAATAAAACAAGTGTTAAATCTAAAAAGTGTATTACAAGTAAAATAAAATAAATATTATTATTATTAGGAAATGTTGGCCACATAAGAAATAAAGCAGTGAAAATGAATACAATAAAAATAAAACAAATTTTAACTATAAGTAAATGCAAATATTACATGCCTACAAGCTTTAAGAAAGAACATGGAGATTTATTATTATAGAAAAACCCAATAGTTCCTTCAATGGAGTGAAGAAATAGACCCGGTGTGAGCGTCCATGTGAGATAAACTCACATTTCTCTTACACCTCCTCTTTCAAATAAACACTTGCACTGTATCAGCACCCTGACATACTCTCTCTCTCCCTCTCTCTCTCAGGCAGGTCAGCCCAGTCCATACAACCCCAGTCTCTCCAGCAGCAGGAGGCTGACTCCCCCTCACTCCCTCCCTCCCTCCCTTCTCCCCCTCCTCAGCCTGGAACTTGTGAATCAATTTATGCGTCAGCCTCGCTCCTGATTGGTCCAGGCATATGTGCGATGACAGTATTGTGGGGGAGAGAGAGAGAAAGAGAGAGCGAGAGTGAGACAGCCAGAAATCCATTGATGAAGTGTCGGTGAGGAGAGAAGGAGCGTGTCTAGTTCATTTCCTGCTCAGGTCGTGAGGTGGATGGTTTTTACTTATTAATTTTTTCCTCTGGCTCTTCAGGAAGAATGTACCACAGGTAGGAAAGAAAAGGAAAAAGCACAGGCTGCATGGTATAAGTATAAAGGTGCAAAGTGGCTCTGCTAATGACAGGAATGTGAGCAATGTAAAGGGGATTACACTTTAACATGCCACCAGATTTGGCACTAGATTAAAGGGCACCGGTGTATTACTCCACAATGATTTGGTTAAAAAGAAGAACTTTAACCAATTACTGTGATTGTTTTTCCTCATGTGGACGTGGAGGAAATGAAGATTTACTTGAATTGTTGTGGAAAAAAACCCAGTTATTTCCATATTTTTATATCGTTGGCTCAGTCAGTGGAGATAATGTGCTATGAAACATGGATGTGGGATGTCATTGTTAATGTGTTTGATTTTCTGTTAGCATTTTCCACAATTTCTTATGTTTTAGGAAAAATAACACTCAGGATCACAGCTTTTTGAATGACTGTTGATAAAGCAGATCCCTGACAGCACCAGCAATAGGGAGAGAAAACTTATCCCTCCTGTATTGATGCTCTGTGCTTGTTGCCCACTGTAGTGTGTGCTGTAATCGCTGGTCTTCTGACGAGAGGCTGGAGGGAAAAACAGTCATCATCACCGGAGCCAACACCGGCATTGGCAAAGAAACAGCCAGGGACCTGGCGAGAAGAGGTACTGCACAGTCCACCTGAGTCCATCTGAGTCACACTGTGTCTCTGCCCATTTCTTTTCTTTATTCCACTCTTTTTCATTTTTGCAAACTCTCAAACTGTGACACATTCCACAGCCTGCAGCTCCTAATGCATGAGTGCTTTAAAGCTACACAGCATGATCTTTAACTGTGCCCTCTGTCCCCAGACCTCCACCACAGAATCAGGGTTAATCCGTCTCACTTGTTTGCAGTGGGATTAGACATGTTTATTACATGTGGGGACTATGTCAAGCGATTTTGATAGCACCAGCATAACTTGGTGTATTCAAAGGCCAAACGCAGACAGGAAGGAAACTTGCTTTGTCAACTGAAACGAGCATCTTTGCTGAACACTTCACCAAATCCACGAAAAAGACAAATGGCAGAGATGGAAGACAGACCAGGCATCGAGGGGACAGAGGGAGCATTGTGAGGGTCTGCTCCCCTCCCGAGCCAGACAAGCAACAAAGAGAGATGGGAGGGTGCTCCCAGTAGTGCTCACACACACACACACCCACACACACACAGCGAGTTATATGAAAAGTGGTTCTGCATAGGCGATTCAGTTTGTTAATGGGAAATCATAAATTTTAATAAATGTTTAAGCTATAAAGTATAACCCAAAGTTTTACAGTCTAATAAATAAAGGAGGAAAAAAGGTTAAATTAAAAGTGAGAGAAAGGAGATGAATGTCAGTGCTTCTTGTTTCAGGCGAATCCTCTGTCCAATCACTTTGCCACAAATGGAATTATGTTATAATATGATGACAACATGATGAGATTTGCAAGGATTCATAAGAGAAGGTGGCTGCTTGGGGCAAAGCATCCTCCCATCAGCCATTTTAATAATGTATCGGTTTGGTTATAACTTTTATATTAAGATTCATTTCCCATCTTGACAAAGTGAAATGTTCATATACTCACTGCTATCAAAGGACAAAAGTTGACGTTTGAAAAGTTGTTGAATTGAATATCCAGAGAATGATCAGGCTTTACTTTGTTTCTGTTTGCCCTTCATTTGCATTATTCATGCGTGCATAACAGCATGTAATCATCTGCTGGGTGATCTTTAACTTGACTCCCTCCACCCTCACTGTTTGTGTGTCGTTTTATTTAAATGGTTGAACTTGACGACCAGCGAAATGTGGGAACAATTGGGTTTTCCCACATGGGAGCAGCAGGGGAGAGACAAAGACACTGTGATGGGATACAGACACCACGCTCCAACAGATTAATGGTTCTCCTCTTCTTTCATTTCTGAGCACAACGGTTATTTTGTGTGCGTGTGTGCGTGCATCTATGTGTGTGTATGTGTCCTCAGAGCCCCTTTCTGGGCTCATTAAGGAGAATGCATCGTAATTTGCGTCAGAGGCGAATGAGAATGACACAGCTGAGAGGGCCTTGTGTCAATGGGAGCGGAGCGGTCGGCTAAATGAGATGCTGAGTGAGAGTTTAGAAAACATCAGAGGAAGATCAAATGCTCTCTGAGAGATTTAGGTGCGTCCACTTTAATTGACGCAGGCATCTCAGTGTGAATTTTTGATTTTGGGAAATTCGAGGGGTTTAAATCTCCTGTGTGTGGGACACTCTTCTTCACTGTCATGATCAGAGTATGAAGCAATTAGTGCGTAAAGGCAAGCTATTCTCTTTGTCCTGTGATTTATCATGATGTAAAATTGACTTGTCGCACAATTTATCTTTGTGGGAACCAAGTACCCATCCGACACAGTTTCACATGACAAGGTTTTTGGATTCCGTGAGAAAGTTGTAATACAAACATATAATAATAATCGTGTTTTTCAGGTGCACGCATCGTGATGGCGTGCAGGGACCTGGAGAGAGCAGAGGAGGCGCGGACAGACATTTTGGAAGACACTGGAAACGAGAACATCGTCATCAGGAAACTGGATCTGTCCGACACCAAGTCCATCAGAGCATTCGCTGAACTCATAATCAAAGGTACAGGGAACTAACCAGAGAGTGATTCTAAAGATGGATGAAGGGTCATCCCCTTCTTCCTCCCACTATCCAGAAATTAAGCTTTAATATCCTGCATACGAACATCACCATGTTGTGCATTTGGAGTCCTGTCAATACACATGTTTGACCAATCACAAGTCAGTCTCAGCTGTCAACATGTGACCTTGTTATATAACATCAAATAACAAATTAAACCCAAACTTACTGGAAACATTTAAACTTGTGTGGTGTCTGAAATGCAATGTCTAGTCTTCCCCATAAAAGAAATTTATCTTTGGGTTCGAGGCCCACAGGTCCTGAGGAATTTGGAGAAAGCCTAAATATATGATAGGGCATTAGGTCACAGTTTTAAGGGGTACACTAAATTTGAGCTAGTGCCCTCTTTCCCTGTCACTGGACGGATGAGAAGAGCTGGATGAAAACCAGATGTGTTTTCTTTAGATTAACGAAAACAACCCTCCTATAGAAACGAGGAGTTGAAGTTGCCCCCTTAGAAGAGATTCACATTGGCTCCGAATCTCTCTCCAGGCGGGAGAGATTCACATTGACTTCGGATCTCTCCATAGGCAGATTGCATTGCTTGTATTGATGCTGAACTTTTTGGTAATAAACATTTTATACAATTAAGACGGTGTCATCGGAGATTCCTTCATCGTCTTCACATCATCACAACCCCAATATACGACACTTGAACAAACATCAATGTGATAAGAGCAACTGAAAGTGAAAAGGGTTGGTAGTTCAGACCCTGACTCTTCTGTCTCTTTGACACCAGGCTCAACATTCCTCTGAATTGTTAATGCTCTGCCATCATTGATGTGTCTGCATGAGTTAATGAGATGCAATCTGTAGAAGCCACATATGTATGTAGTCAATACACGAAATATGAACTGCCATTAATGCCATTTATTCTAACTTATCATTCTTCTGACTGACTAATGTGCTTTTCAGAGGAGAAGCAAGTGAATATCCTGATAAACAACGCAGGCATCATGATGTGTCCCTACTCCAAGACTGCAGACGGCTTTGAGCTGCAGTTGGGAGTCAATCACTTGGGTAAGTCATCACTGAGTTACGTCCATGACATAAAACTCATGGCTGTTCATGTGTTTATCTGCAGGATGACTGGCAGAGAGGTTTTGGTAATTGATGCAACATAAACTGTAATATGTATTTTTTCCAGTAATAGGACAATATAGTGATTGGGATTTTCCCACAAAAGAGGGTAAAAATATTTTTTCTTCCTGCACTGCATCCTATTAACGAGCTGCACCACACCCATCAAACCCAGCGGACCAATATATCAGCCTGGAAAACGATCTGGAGTCACTTTTTTCTTGGAACTGTCAGCGTTTTCCCCCACGTTGGACCTTGGCTTCCTTCCAAATTATTGTTTCCTCCGAGGTATTTTTATCATTGCCAGGCAGAGAGAGGAACACGCTGTGCTCGAGTCACCCACACATCTCAACACACATGCACACATACATTACTGTGTACTTGTACATGAACCAACATCCTGTAAATGTACACATGCGTGTTAAACAATGATAAACTCTGGTCAACAGGAAAGATTGAACAATGGGACGGGAAGCGACACATTGGAACCAGACGTGACACTTTACATTGATGCCACTGTGAATGTGTTCCCTGAACAGAAATCAATCTTTCTCTATTGTTTCCATTTGTTTAAATATAGTCGTTGTTTTTACCATTCGAGGAGCAATAATGTGAGTTACATTAAAATGCTATTATCTCATCTTTCTGGCTCCTAATATATTGTGATTTTCTTCTATTGAGGTCGTAAACAAAGTTGAATGAATGTCAAACACAAGCAGCCAGATCTATCAAGATCAGAGTGTCCTGTTCTTGATGAGTCAGTGCTCAATGGGTTGTCCTCACGACACCCACCTCTCACCCACCACACAGGAGGAATTAAACCGTATCAACCCTTCATCAACAGCTGCGGCCGGATATTCTCCTGAAATCTTCTCGGGGGGGCTTCTCCTGCCAGTCGCCCTGTAAAATGCTCACAGAATGTTGGAGTGAGTCCATGTGAGAATACAGTAGCATAGTCACAGTGTGCGAATGGGTGTATTGATGATGTTTCTAACGCACGATGGAAGCAAAATTGGAAAAATACAAATATGTCATGATGAAGAAGAGGGGCCATACAAGTCGAAGTCGCAGAAGAAGACAGGAAGATTCAAGAGCTGTTGTCAACAAGAGCTGATGCTGGTGTCGATGTACTGGAAACAAAAACCTTGAGCTTTCCAAAACAGAGTTTACATGTCATGTCCCCCCTCCTCCGTGCTCCACCCTGAGGCCACCGCTCATCTCAATATTCTGGAAATGTTGCTGTTGTTGCGACTGGTGTCTTACCCGGACAATCATATGCTGTGTTCTTCATATGTGAAGTCCAGAAAATGTCTGGACCGGATTTTCTGGACAGCTCATTTCAGTGTTTATTTAAAAAATTGTGTGCATTGCACTTTATAGGGGCTAAAACCACAAGCCAAAAGATGACACAACATTTGTTCCTGCATGAGACACAAACATTTATGTAGCATGAAGCGAGGGCCTGAAAGGTGTGTGTCTCCTGACTGTCCTCAGGTCACTTCCTGCTCACTCACCTGCTGCTGGACCTCATCAAACGTTCAGCTCCGGCCCGTATCGTGGTCGTGGCGTCGGTGGCCCACACCTGGACGGGGCTTCGACTGGATGACATCAACAGCGAGAGGAGTTATGACACCATGAAGGCATACGGACAGAGCAAGCTGGCCAACGTCCTGTTCGCACGTTCACTGGCCAAACAGTTACATGGTGAGTTGAGGCCGCCAAGATTTTCAGGGAGTTATTGCCACAGTAAGCAAACGTCACAGGATGGAAGAAAGAGTAAATAGATTGGTTTTACGTTAATGTACCTTAATGTATTTAGTTTAATTTACTCAATTACCAAATAATAATAATAAATACATTTCATTATAATAGATTTATTCATTATTCATTATTGCAATTTAATTACTTAGAAGTCATGCTTTTAATTGCCTTTATAAAAATTAAAAAAACATTTACTTATCTACCTACCTATGCTTCTATTACCAGACAATAAATGGACTCAAAAATACACAAAAAGCATAAAATTCAATATGAAATACTTTGTGGTTTGTTAATCTGCAAACATGCTCAATGCATCCTTTTCAAATTTAAAACTGTAAATGCAGTAAATTGAATCTAATAACTGTATTTAATCAAGCTGAGTGAATTCAATTCAATCTGTTTTAGACATGATAATGGGAATTATATACAATTCAATTATACACAAATCTGTTAATGTGTGAACATGAACACATGAAAAATAGTCTTGTTGAGAGACTTGAGAAAGGAAAGAGTTAAGAAATATAGCTTTGTAGTTAACTAGATAGTTAGATAAAATGAAACCTAAGTCTAAGATATGTTAATATATATAAAGCAGAAAGCAGACAGCAATGTTTTTAGTTTAACATGAGAACAGACTGACATTATTTTACCACTGGATTTGTTGCTCAGGTCTTTGTCTTTCTTCTTTTCTCATTCGGAGGAAGAAGACTCCTGTTACATATGAATCAGACTTTCACTGGAAGTGAGCCATTTTGTTGTCTCACTCCAGTGTTTTTTTCTCTCTCTGCTTAATGGGCAAGAACTGAAAGAAATGACTTTAATTAAAAAAACAACTCTCTGGCCTGATGTTTGATTCCACAGATCTTGAGTGCAGCTCTTAAAACTCAGCCCATTATAACTCAGAAACAAACAAATTGAACATTAAAGGGAAGAATAAAATAAAAATGAAATACAAACACCATGGTTGATGGAGCTTTTTATTTGAATTTGCCAACAGATCACGCATGCAAAGTCACTGATGCTCTATGGATGTGCAAATAACAGGGTCATGTGTGCTCGAACGTGTTCACATGATTATACAGTGAGTTTAAGTGACTGTACAGGTGCCTGTGCTGTCATATGTTACAGGAACAGGGGTGAGCGTGTTCTCTCTGCACCCGGGGGTGGTGCAGTCCGACCTGTGGAGGCACCAGCACCAGTGCATCCAGGTGGCCGTGAAGATTTTCCGGATTTTCACCAAGACGACAGTGGAGGGAGCTCAGACCACCATCTACTGCGCCGTGGAGCCCGGCCTGGAGAGTCAGAGCGGGGGGTACTTCAGGTACACACAGTATTTCAGCCAACGTACAACTGGTTACACAAGCGCTTCTACAGTGCCGGCTTCACGCTGCTCACTATTACTACCTGCTGACTAACAGAAAGATTTATTTGAGAGTTTTCAATTTTGTTTAACACTCACATAAAGACACCAAAGTAGGTAACAACCATTCTCTGTCCCTGTGTGTGTTCAGTGACTGTGCCCCTGCACGCTGCTCCAGGGCGGCCTCCGATGACGACTTAGCCCAGAAACTGTGGGAAATCAGCTGCAACATACTTGGCATCACCTGGCAGTGAACAATGGGAAATTAACTGTGTAGTGGAGGACGTTGTATGTTAAGTGTGAATTTCATCTTTAAAAAAACAAACAGCACTATTAAGCACTTAAAGAGGCATTGTTGTTTCTGTTACTGTTGTGAAAATGATGTATTTTAATAACTGGAAGTACAATATGGTCCAAATATGACTGAAGCCTTATTTTATACATAATGGAAAGAATCTTATGTTTAGTCAAATTACATTGATCAAACAGGGTTTCATGTTTTACCCATATTGTCAGATTGTTTTTCTACTCAGTAGAATATTGAAGAAATCATTTTGAATTATCTTTTCACGATACGTTTGCTAGTTTATATGGTTATTCTCTGTTAAGTTGATTTTGTTTCTGTGTTGCAGATGCTGCTCTAGTTTGCGAAGATGTTAGCTTTGCTTTTGACGACACATCATGAAATTCTTTCTTACTTATTTCCCAAACATTCAGTTTGCAGAGTCCTGTGGAACAAAGTGTTTTTTGGCACTGATGAGAACAATTTGGCTCCAAACAGTCTCGAAAAGTCTTTTTTAAAAGTAACATGTGAATGAAGTAATGCACTTACTGTAGATGGCAATAGGAAAAGGTTTACCTTGTTCTTTTGTGGCACTTAAAGTGTCAGAATGTCATTTTAATGAGTAGTGGGTGGCACTGGGTGGCCTCACCTCCCTTGCTTCTGGGTTCAAACCATCCAGACAGCCCAGGCCTTTTGTTCGTTTCCATATTCTCCTCGTGCCTGCGCGGCTTTCCTGTGAGTACTCTGGCTTCTTTCCACAGTCTGAAAACATGCAGGTTTGGTTAACTGGAGTCATTGGAGGTTAAATGGTCCGTAGGTGTCAATGTGAGCCTGGATAGTTGTTTGGTTCTCAGCCCTGTGGTCGTCTGGTGATCTGTCCAGGATGTACAGCTCCTGTCTGATGTCAGCTGGGATCGGCTCCAGGATGAGCGGTTACAACTGTTTCACTACATTTTCTTCTGTGATATCAGAGGTCTTTCCTGTTGCGGTAACAGTTGTAACCACAATATGGTTACATGTGGTTATAATGTCAAGGTGCTAGGAAAGCCTCTGACGATGCGGCAGCATGTACATAATGTAAAAAATAAAGCTGTTAAAATGAAAAACAAAGTTTGGCTTGTTTGCTGCATGTGTGAGTTGTGATTGTGTGTATATTGATGACAGGCTGCTGGGTTGACCTTTTCAGATGCAGTGACATGTGACACTGGTATGAATTTTGCCTTTGAGATTTAAAAGAGATTAGGTGAGATTAGTTTTAGTAATGAGAGAACTCAGGATTTTAAGGTCTCAGTCAGTGCCACCCAAACAGATGACTGAATTTCAATGAGACAGATTCCAAGGTCACTTTGTTAGAGTGACTAAAGTGAAAAGTAATGTTTGAATCCTGCTGCTTACAGCATCGCACTGTTTCATATTTTCACTGTTCTGATAATTAATTGATATCCATGTACAGAATATTATCTTTTTCTAGGCATGAGTATTACACTAAGTGTGGTGCTTGTCACAGCACAGAATAATAAAGAACACGGATCAATAGAACAGTATTTACAAATCTTATGTTAATCTGAGTCACATGGGGGTGTGTGTAAGACTGAAGGAATGTAGGTGTGTAAAAAGATTGAGGAGTGGCCACAGCGTTGCCTCTAAGCAACACATGAAACATGATTAGAGCACGACTGATTTAACAGTTAACCAATTAAATCAGCCGATATGAGTCTTTAGAAGACATGATGGGATCAGGAATTAAACCATGAAGAAAATATGCATTTATGTTGATGTAAAAAAATGTCTTTTATTATTATTACATATGATTCATCATCCAACCATGAGACTCAAGCTCATGTAAGTACATTAGCTTGAAAAAAGCCAAACTACAGAGTGCTATATATATATATATATATATGCTGAAATAAAGGAATTGAAATTCTATAACTCCCTTATCTCTTTATCAGCCCCCACAAAATCCATATTGGTCGGGCTGTAATTATGATTTGGATAAATAATCACACATAAAAACATCCCATCAGTCAACTTTCCTGTGACCAGAAATTTAATATAGTAAATCAGCAGTTTTGAAAAATTCTCACTTAAATGTAACAAACCGACAGCGAAATGTTCACATGCTTCATTAAACTGCAGCGTCAGTAGCCTCTTATCAAGAAAGGAGGTGGGTGGGTATATTTATTTTATAATAATAAAGAAGCTGCTTACATTAGGTTGAAAAAAGTTAATATATATATATATATATATATATATATATATATATATATATATATATATATGCACAATTACAGTCAGAAATATTTTAATTATTAAAAATGTCATCACTAGTTTAAAGCCTAGTTTTAAAAAGACTGAGAATACAATTGTTATAAATGAAGTTTAAATTGCGTTAACTCTTTTTACTATTGTTGTAATAAAAAGGGAGGGGGGTGCAATCTTATAGGTCTTATAAAATAAAGATCTTAAGAGTTATAACCATAGACTGTATATAAAGGTTATAACAAACCAGTAAGAGTAAAATGAAAGTAACCAACACTAGCGCTGCTGTGATGAGTGTCTGTATGTGAACCTCCTCGCCTGTAGGTGGCAGTGTGGATAATATCAAACACAGGGAGAAGCGTCTCCTGCGCATGCGCGGTGAAAGTCTACGTCAGCTCTTCTTGAGTTAAGTGTGAGCAGAAAGCGACGTGTCTCTCAGAGCTCCGTGTGTCCCTCTTCTACTCCGCTCCTCAGAACAAGGTGAGACCAGCGCTGCTCCGTGAACAGCTTTTAATTCACTCTGTAGTTGAACACAGGAACTGTTGTGAGCGCTTTCACTCGGGTTTGTCTGGTTTCCAGCTAACGCCACGTCGAGCTTTTCAAACGGTAGCTAGCTAGGAGCTGTTAGCATAACCACAAATCAGAGTTTCAGCAGTAAACACGAGTTTCGCTGAATGTAATGTTTACAGTTCCATTTAAAAGCAAGTTTAATGTGTTAACTAATGTAACGTCGGTGTAGTTTGTTGTTGTTTACCGTGCTATTCTTCATTTTCTCCGGGCGCTGAAAGTCAACGTCATCATTAAGAGCAGCAGCAGCAGCCCAGGCTCAACACTCATGTTGTCTGTTTCTTGTCTTCATCCGCAGCCCGAACACACACCATGGATCAGGTCATGCAGTTTGTGGAGCCCAGCCGGCAGTTCGTCAAAGACTCCATCCGGCTCGTGAAGAGATGCACGAAACCCGACAGAAAAGGTAGCAGCTTTAATTGAAATCTACTTCTGAGTGAGCCCCCTGTCTTTGTTGTGCTGTGACTGAGGGGCACGGTTTTAAAATTCAGCTGATCAGGAAACACATGATTGTATTGTTGATCTTTTTACTTGATTATATATGTGACGATTCTCAGTCATCCTGGTCATAGTATCTTCAGAAGTTGTACTATTGTACTTACAGTACTAGACTTTGAACACACGTTTCATCCAAGAGGCGTCTCCACCACCAGCGCTCCACTGAATTATTTCTGTCCTCCTGTTAGAGTTCCAGAAGATTGCCATGGCCACAGCGATCGGATTTGCCATCATGGGTTTCATCGGTTTCTTCGTCAAACTCATTCACATCCCCATCAACAACATCATTGTGTAAGTGGCAGAAAATCGACATTATTCACATTGTAAGCGTGAAACAGTGACTTGATTTGATGTGATCACAACTTTGATATCATCAAGTAGAGACAATTAAGACATGCTTAGTCCAGGACTGTGCTATCTAAAGCTTTTTATCCCAGGGTCTGCCTCCCTGATATCTGTGATGACGCACTCTATTGATTGTGTTCATGATCCTACACACGTCTCTTAAAAAAACTGCAAGCTGAGTATTTGTAGCTATTAGCCTGTTTCATATATTTGCCAGGGCTGCAGGAGGCTCTAATATTAAGATTATATAAAAAGAATATCTACAGACTAAGAAGTGTCTTAGTTTTTATAGATATACTTTTTGTATAATGTTAAAATCCAAACACCAAACTACAGTAAATCGTAGTTATCTTAAACGTAGTTATCTTAAAAGTTATTGTTCAATTACCTGCAGATTTGACCTAAATCAATTTCATGAAAACTACATTCTCGTGTAAATTAACAGGGGAACAAATTATTTGCTTACCTCTTTTGCTTTAGACTGTTTATTTTGTTGCATCAGTGATAGAATAGCAGTATCTCATCCAAGGACCAGGTGTTAATTTCACATGATAATTCATAAAGCTGATAACAGGCATGAATGTGATGATGAATTACTTCATCGTTGTGTAGTTAAGATTAAATCTAAAAGAAACAAATGAATTTTGTGCATAAAAGATAACAGCATTCAAATACAATTAATTTATTGTTAAGGGTCTCAGAATATTCAATATTCTGAATTTGAGAAGTTTGATTGTCTCTTGAAAGAAAATTGTGAGATGATGGGAGTGGTTTTCATCAGTGGTGGTTTTAATGTTTGCTGGATCATTAACAATGTGAATATTACAGTAAAATATGAATACATTTTGATTTCTTGTCACTAATGCTTTCTTTTTTTTTTTTTTTTAGCGGTGGGTAACTCCTGGTCAGAGAACAACAAATTTCAATACCTGGCGATGGTGACGGTGCTGTAAAGTGATATTGGGCTGATGTGATCGGGACTGAAGGGGATGGCAATTTTTACATTCTGTGCACAACATTTGTATTTGCTGTGTAAATAAAACAAATGGAAACCCACACTTTGATTTGTCCCGTCTGTGCAAACCATTGATACATTATAGTCTACGTTTTCTAACTTATTCTATAATCCATAACTACTTGACAGAGACGGATAATAACTACAAGGTGAACAGGATGATACAGAAGGCACATACTGCTGTTGAAGTGGAATCCTGTACTTTTAAATGATGATGTAATGTTGTTGATTGTGTCTCTTCTTTGTAATTATCCCCAATATGCTGTCATGTCAGTTCTTGATTTGTGCATGTAAAGGACCCAGATGTGTGAAAAAAGGCTTTTTGTGATACATTTTGAAGAATAGTGTTCAAAAAACTATTTTGGTTCTGTTTTGAGTTACCTGTGAGACACATCTTCATATAAAATTCAAAAAAGCACTTGAATGAGATCTTTGTTACATTTAAAGGTGCGTTCACCTTTTTCTTTTTGTACAAAACATTTTACAAAATAGAGAAAACCAGTGACTCTGCTGTGTGATGTTCTGATTGGTCCAATACTAAGAAAGCTTCTTGTTCTATTCTATATTTTTCTTGATGCCCATGCTCCACAGCAGTGGCTGGTCTGTGGTCACAGTTACAGGCTTCCTGGGGTTTCCAGGGGCGACAGGCTCGTAGGTGTTGGAGGTGCTCACCAGCTTCCCAAACTGCAGGACCTGGTTATCTGGACAGAAGACAGATACAATGAGGTTTAAACGCTGCAGTAACATGGGAAACTGAAAAATGTCAACTTTAAATAGTCAAGTTAATTGAGCAGTTTGTGTTGCTGTGTAACTGATGTGAGGTCGTGCACATGACTCGTCACTTAACACAGCTTTGGATCTAGCGAGGTGATGTCAAGGCCGCATGCCGGGTTCATGGCACGAACCGCACACATTCACAGAGGCTATTATGCTGAGGCCACTGAGCACACTCCCACTTAGTGCTTGCTGAAGTGTTAAGAAATTCTCTGAAAGAAGAATCCTTCAGCTGACACAGGAAAGGTGACAACTTATATAAGGCTCATTGTTCAATACCCTTTATAACGACAAGTAGCACAGTGAAGCAGAAAGAACTCTTCAAGGAGAGGGAAAAGAAAATAAGTGAGACCAGATACATTTTTCAACCACAGATGTTATTCACCAGGTCTGACAGATCTAGTCTGGAATAATTTCACATTTAAGACAGTCTGGATTCTTCGAAGGTCAAACCTTTGTGAAATATTTGCTCCAGTTTCATGTTTAATTTCCTCTTTGTATTCTTTTCCAGACACAAGAGCTGTGACAAATCGCTGTGTCCTTTACCTTTTGTTATGGCTCATTATAACATCTTGGATGCTCCAGGTTCAAGTCTAACTTCCAGTGAATTGACTGAAAGGAACCATTCATTCTGAAAGGACACTTGGGCCAACACTGACCTCATGTGGTCAAACCAGGAAGCTCTGATTGATTTGTTGTGTGGTGCATCACATTGAGCCATGAATATTAAGTTAAATAATGTTTCTGATCGAATTCATATTCTATAAGAGATACACCTCTGAATAACTTCCCATATTATTATAGGCTGTAACTCACACATACAGATTGATTCTTTATGCTTTACACTTTTACACATGGGCCCTTTTTTTCTCAGCGTTTTGGGTCTGAATTATTAATAGTGACAAAAATGTTGCTCTAATATTGAACAAGAACGCTGTTGTGACAACTTCAAACAACTGGGATTTGTCAAAGTACCTTCATGTTCTTGTTTTTGCCACTGACAACATTATGGATTCCTACAGACGTTGTCGTGTGTCTCACGTCTTGCTCAACAATGTCAACAAGAATAAGAAGGCAAACCATAAAAATTTGGGGATATAAATGGATAGCCAAATTATGGGATGCCCTTGTTACTCAAGTGGAACAAGGAAGCAGCCGTCACCATGGCAATGGATAGACGATCTGTTTCCGTATCTGTTACACTGCTTCAAAATTTTCAATTATGTTTTCCCTATTACAAAGGTAGAGCTTACAAAGATGGAAAATGGGGCCCAGATTTAAAAATTGTAGAATTGTACTTGAAAATACAAAGAATAGCAACTGTAATTTTCTTTTCTTTCCCCCCCCCTACAAACCATGTAGCATTAGTTGTTATAAAACAGGAGTTGTTTCTAAAAGTCTCAATTAGTCATGATGCTGATATTTACAGGGACAGTTTTTTGGGCGGCTTTGGGTAAATTTTGATAAAATAACAACGTAATCCATGAATTCTACTTCTGGCAGTTTGAGAAAGTTTTCCATCTGAAGATTTCAGTGTGAGAAATCAGAGAATAAAGAACTGCTCCTGAGGCAAACAGCTTTTTCCCTCATATAAAGGTAATTTCAAAGAACAAATGCTTTGTTGAAGAACACAGACCAATTAATCACACAACCTGCTTCTGCAAATGCTACGCCTCAAACATCATACAGCACATTACACACTATTAACCTGAGCCAACACCTGATAACTGCATTGACAAAGAACATCAGAAAATAAGGATGTAGAAAATATTATTGGTGAAATCGCTTCACACAAAGGGGAAAATGAACACAAAGGAACAAAGCAGGAGAGAAGGAAGCGAATCATGTGTCCACAGGCGCCTGCACTCACATCAAACAGGGACAAAAATCCCTATGCTGCTTCAAAGACTGCCAAATGAGCATGGTATTAAGTCAGCTTGACTCTGAACACGGAGGAAAACAAGTTGCATGTGAAGTTAAGGTACTTAATAATTGAGTGAGCACAGAGCCACAGTCACTGTGCTATGGGCGTGTGAGAATAATGTCTGACTGGGTTAAAATATGGGCCTGAGGATTTGACTCTGCAGGATAACGTGTTTCCACCTGGCTCATAGCAGCCGAGCCACGAGAGTCGTCTACGACCTGTAGAGACAAGTCCAGGCAGAGCTTTCAGTGTTTTGTGAGACGTGCAAACGAGTATATTCACTTATGTTGATGGCTTTGGGAGGATTAAAAGTCCTCATGGATACATCCATCATCTCATTAAAAATTTAACTTTTACTAAGCAACAGCGCCCTCTAGTGATTAATTCTGCCCAATCCAGTAAGTGATTTTCATGTAAAGTCCCTCAATCTCTGACTACATAGATTGATATATACAATTTTTAACTGTGACTCTATCAGTCAGTTACACATTTCTCACAGGAGACGTAATATATGTCTGCACTATTTAAAATTGTGTAATATTTTAACCTTGGTATGACCATGTGTTTGTTTTCTTAAGATTGTCAAATCTGATCAAACGTAAGTGAAGTGTTAATATAATTATATTTTTGATTAATAATAATAACACTGTTTTTTAAAACCTAATCTTATTAAGCAAATGTATTTACATTAGTTTATTAATATTTTATGTTTTCAGAGACTTTGAGAGCTTTCTGTAAAATTTGGATTAGGATTACAACACCGTACAACACCATGACTGAAAAAAACCCTTTAGAGCTGCAACTATTTCTTAGAAGACACCAATTCACCAGTGCTCCACACACATTAGGTCCTTCAGCAGGCTGCATAAACCTCCCATTGATGTTTTTATCCTCGATATAAAAATGCCATAGGATTTATCCCTCAGCACAATGTGATTATATTACAACCAGAGAGGGAAGGAGATATATTCAGGGCTGAAAATTGATGGATGGTGTCATAAGAAAGGCCACTAGGGGCAGCAGAGCACTTCCATACAAGCTTTGGGAGGCGGAATGGCCGTAAGGCAACTACATTTACTAACACACATAATCTGTGTCTCTCATTCACACAACCATTTAAAACAAGCATCCACACACACACACACACACACGTGTAAACTCTTTACTGAGCACAAAGGGCTTTCAGATGGCTTCATTAGTAATCCCCTCCTCGAAGCTGATACCGATCAATAACGGCCCCGTTGCAGAGGGGACCAAAATGAGCGTCGCACCCTCCAGTGATAACAATGGAGATGTTTGCTGCCTGTAATTGCATTTCCAGCGCCACAGCTGAAAGGGCCCGTCAGCTGTAAGTAGACCGTATTTACACAACAAATTACCCAGGAGAGTGGGTGGGCGCGGGGAGGAGAGACTCGCACTGCAGTGGACAGGTAGGGAGGGGAATTACTGGTGTTAGGGTCCATTTCTGAACGGGAGAGAAGTGTGTTGCCGCTCTGTTGTGAGAGGCATGTTAAAGGTGCTGCATTGAGCTTTTAGAAAATATATTAGTGTCAAGTTATTTGTGACTCAATGTAGTCACAGTCAAGGTACCTGGTCTCCATCTAAAGCTTCAGTGCATGTTAATATAAAAAGAATGAGACCATAAGTCCCACAATTGATTTTCGAAGAAGATGCACATCTGCAAATCTTTATTTCACTTTCTCTGTCTGCACATGTAGCACCTGTTAGAAACATAGACTGCATAAACACATGAGACATGACAGGTCTCATAAGGTCAAGCCCAAAAGTCTTGATTGCCCCCTGGTGGCTGGCGGCAGTATAGGTCATAAACCCCACCTCCACCATGTTAGCAGATGGAACGTTTTTTAATTCAGGATTTTGTTTTTCAGCATTATAGTATAACTAAAATGTCTTAGGTGTGATCATAGACTGAATATAAAGATGGACGACATGAAGGCAGCCTCAAGGTGAAGCCAAATCATTTTGATTGCCACATGGTGCCTACCTGGCTCCATGTTAGTGAATGGGGCATGGACCAAGTCAAAATACACCTAGAATAATCTTTTCTCAATGAGGGTTACTGTTAGTTCTTATCACACTGATGTATGTTAAGTTTTAGTTTGATGCTATAAAAATGAAACATCATAATTGACAGCTGAGACTGACTCATGATTGGTTGGGCGAGTGTATCCATGGGACATTAACACCATGACTCCACCCCCGATGCCTACTGTGCAGACTCTTGCTCCAAATGTTGACATTGGTGCAAGATGGCAGCGTTTGTATTCAGGATATTTTGGCTCTATTTCTGGATCTATTCAACTTTAACTCAATCTGCGCCCCTCATTCTCAGGTGGAAGAAAATCTCAGTTAGCGTTCTGTTCATTTAAAGCACTTGATCAGCGTTGAGACACAAAAAAGCCACCCTCCTCCTCATGGATGATTCCGATTATTCACGGTAATTCTACTAATCATCTGTAATGAGGGATGACATTTTTCATTGACAGCAAAATGTGGCATGATCACTCCTTTACATAGAGCTAGTCAACATGATCCCAGGTATTCCAGCACAACCAAAAAACAGATCATTTTCTTTTCCCATTATGACCCAGTGCATTTAGCGAGGAACACACACTCCCTTTTAACACAACTTGTCATTGAGAGGCAAATTGAACTCATTCTGTCAGGGGGGTAGATCCTCCGCTCTTTTAGACCAGCGTGCTATCAAATTCCATCACGCTTCACAGTTCGAGTCAGAAAATCATTTTCTGTGAATCATGTTTGTTCAATACTGAGCTGTCCAAATGACTGAAATGAGGTGGAGGTACAAATGTGTTTCACAGTCAGTACTGAGGCTGTCATTGCGTTATATTAATGAATATACACAGAAGCAGAATGATAAAGAATAATACTTCAGGTAATACAAACTTTACAATATTGTGCCAACATTAAGTTATGATTCACTCTAACAGAGCACAAGAACTTGTTTTTGGTTTTACCGGT